CCCCCCCCCCCCCCCCCCCCCCCCCCCCCCCCCCCCCCCCCCCCCCCCCCCCCCCCCCCAAAGGGTTAAATGCGATAGGCAAAGCATACGAAAAATTCCTTCATCCAAAATATCATAGCTGGATGAAGGTACACAACGTCATTCCTCACCAACAGTCTGGATTCCAAGCCGGTGTATAGTTACAAATCAGAATACAGTCAATTTACGAGCAAGGACGACAATGTGTTGCCATTAATCGGCCTGGTTTGCTAACTTTGTTGATTTCGCTAGGGCTTTTGATAAGGTTTGGGATAAGGCTGTATTAGTTAAGTTAGCTAGATTTCATTCCATCTCGTCTTTAGTTATGAGTAAGGAACTGGCTCTCGGATCGATGTGCGTATGTTTCATTTGGAGGAACAGCCGCCGTTCTAATAAAAAGTTGACTTTTGATGTAATCGACATATGAGATCTAGCTCCAGCTTGCTGAGGAGGAAGTATATTCTTCTCTTCTAGCCAGCGGTTGAATCTTAGCAAAAAAAGTTTTTCGAAACATTGTTCTCTATATTTTCGAGCTGTCCCCCAAACCGCTTCTGATAAAAGTCTGGTGTATGCTCTGCTCAACGAACCACAGTATTGGTCAGGTAATAGTTTTACCATCTTGTTTGAAATGAAATCGAATCCTGACGAGTTTTTAATGTTACGAGATTTAATTATTTTTTGCACCTCGTCAGCTGTAAAACGTAGATCCGAATTATCGCATACGAGCTTTATGTCGTCGAAGTTCGCTGTGCTCAATAGTTCCCATACTTTTTTCACCGCCGTGTCTAATTAATTGTTTGGATCAAATTGTGGAGCGGCTAATCGATTTTTAAAATGATCTTGCATGCATTTTATTATTTCGGTGGGTGTTCTATGCACGACGTTGTCATCAATGAAATTCTTGTGCCGTCAGAAACCCTCGGTCACAGCTATTTTGCACGAGACTTTTTAACGAAAGTTCCAGTACTTTCATTGAAAAAAAACGCTTTAAGGAAAGCTTTTTTAATGAAAGTCATCCAACCCGTTTATTATGTTACCATATTCATACCCAACATAAATACTTTTATTTCTATTTAATATGTTACATTTATCCTAGTATCTCAGTTTTGCCATGAATGTTCAGAAGATTATTCAAAAATTATGTAGATTTTATTATTAGGTCGTCGGTTTATTGAAGCAGAAGTTTGATTCAAACTATTTTCGACTAGAAAATGTGCGCATGCACTACTATTGTTTTGCAAGCTTTCACAAATTAGTTTCGTAGTTTGATAGTAGTGTTGTTTTGCCAAAATAAACCATTATACTTGTAAATTAATTCTTTTTTAAGCATAATCATATCATGAATGAATTGTATCAATGTTTATTTTTTTAGTGCAAGTTCTTGACTTTAATTACCGGGTGTCCCAAAGTGTTTGCGGCATTTTTTATTTTGCATATATTTCAGTACAGAAAAATAATAAAATCTTCAAATTTTTTTTAAAAGATGCGCAATTAATTCTGTACAAACTTCGATTTACTTCAATTTAAAATAATAGAATTAAACGTTTTTATAGGTCACATAGTACGATGATATGAATTGCATCTAACGAGGGAATCTTTCCAGGTGTCAGACCGTTTTTCTAACGAAATGCGGTAGTCTATAGGTAATAGGCCATGCTAATTCTGAATATGATAGCCGTTTTTGCTCATAGGCCTTTCCTCACCGGTTTCTGGAAAACTAGTTTTCCAGAAACCTCAAAAAATCCTCAAAAGTTTTTCTAAATAAGCACACCTGTAGACCGCGAAAGTCTCATTAAAATGAGACAGCTCTCAGCTCTACATGATCTTTCTTTGCAAAGTTATAGAATTTACAAGAAAAGCCCTAAATGTTTATGGTCACCTCAGAGCTACAGAAAGAAGAAGGAAAGATGAATTTAGGGCTTTTCTTGTGAATTCTATAACTTTGCAAAGAAAGATCATGTAGAGCTGGGAGATGTCTCATTTTAATGAGAATTTCGCGGGCTACAGTTATGATTTATTTATTAAAACTCTTGGAGATTTTTCGAGGTTTCTGGAAACCTAGTTTTTCAGAAACGGGTTAGGGAAGACCTATGGGCAAAAACGGCTATCATATTCGGAATCAGCATGGTCTATTACCTATAAACTACCGCATTTCGTTAGAAAAGCGGTCTGACACCTGGAAAGGTTCCCTCGTAGATCGTAAAGGTACAAATTACGTAAGTCAACATGTTTTTCAGTTAATGTATGCTTTCTTTTTGTTATTCCGTAAAATATTAAACCTTCTTATCATGTGTGTCTGTGGGTATGTGTGTGTTTTCTTATAAATTGTATTTTTTCTTTTTAAAAGAAACTAAAATAAATCATATGCGTATAATTAACATTCAATAAAAAAACAAACAAAAAAATGCTTTTTAAGTTAACAAAAATTCTTTTTATACGCATCTACAAATAGAATTCGATGTGAATTTTTAAGGGTTTTCTTATTCAATCAAGAATATATTTTATATTATACAAAAAATATTATTTTCAACATTAACACAATTTTTAATACTGACATCAACAAAGACAGGTAAAAATCAACTACATACATACGCGTCCTTTTTTCTCCATGAAGTGAACTGACAAGTGGAGTAGTGAACTGTGAACTCAGGCTATCGCATATATTTCACTTTATAGGGCTATACTTACTTAACATCATTCCATACGTTAGTTCTTCCTCACGAGGTATAACCGGATTTCATTTTTTCAAAAGTCCGAGCTATTTATCAGTAATTGATTATTTTTACAGATTATTTTAACAATGAACTTCAACACTCTAACAATAGTTGATTGTTTCTTGATTTTATTTGGCTTATCAATCATTTATGCAACAACACCCGCAACAAAAACGACTACTAAAAGTATAGTGAGTTGTCCTAATGATCAACAAGTTTGCGGTAGTACATGTTATTCTCCAATTAATCAAACATGTTTTAACAATAATCAACTTTGTTCAATCGGTCAAGGCATATGTAATTCAACATGTTATTCACCACAAGTACTGTCACTACCAAATACAGTATGTTTAAATAACAATATTCTCTGTTACCAAGGTCAAAAACTTTGTGGTACTGCCTGCTATAATGACTATTATTATGGCATTTCATTATCACAAAATTCTACTTACTACAATTGGTCTGTTATTCTATATGGTGATGGATCCATTAATTATGGTTCAATATGTTTTAATAATAGATTAATTTGTCAATATGGACAATTGCTTTGTGGTAATAATCAATGTTATAATTCAAGTAATCAAACATGTTTCAATGATCAAATAGTATGTACAATTGGACAAATGATATGTAATACAACGTGTTATTATAATGCTTCACAAATATGTTACAATAACAGTATTCTGTGTTATTTTGGTCAAAGTTTATGCGGTAAAACGTGCTATTATACATCGTATCAAATATGTTACAGTAACAATTATGTTTGTTCATCAGGATACAGTATTTGCGGCACAACATGTTATTATTCCTGGTGGAACCAACAGATATGCTATAATGGAAACACTCTTTGTTACTCTGGACAAAGTGCATGCGGTACAACTTGTTACAATCCATATTCTCAAACATGTTATAATAATCAAATACTCTGTACTATTCAATGGAATTTATGTGGTTCAACATGTTATGATCCTAATCAGCAAATATGTTACCTTAATAGTATTCCTTGTACTATTGGAAGCTCACTTTGTAATTTAACATGCTATAATAAAATTACACAAACTTGTTATAATAATACAACACTATGTCCAATACAATATAAACCTTGTGGTAACAAAACATGCTACTATCCACAAGGACAAATCTGTAATGGAACAACTGTTAGTACGAAAATATGAGTAAGAATAGTTTAGATGTGTAAAGATGTTTAGAGACATTTGTCAAATACTTTTATCGCCATCCGTACTTGTCCTTACATAACCATCATTATTTTAATAAAAAATACGACCGATAGTTTTTGTTGGTTTAAGCTTTATTCTGTCAGAATACAAGCGGAAAAATATTCCATTATAGTATTCTAAACTAACACTATCGACAAACACAATAGTTTTTGTTAATTGTTGTTAATTTTTTTTTATTTGAATTTGTTATTTCTTGAAGTATAACGTGTCAAATTTGATTTTTTCTGCAAGACGCGTCAGTTTTAGGACTTTATATAGTTTTAGGATTTGATAATAAATTTGGTACTCATTTTATTCAACAAGTGAATAACTTTAGTATTTACTACGATTGGAAATCATTGTTGATATAAAATCATTTTGTCTTATATTGTTACTTTCTTTTCAAACAGTACTGCATTGAACATTGGAAAAAAGCAATTACAAAATCAACAAAAAGCATGATTCTGTTTCTGCTATTGGCCATATTCAATTTTCAGTTTAATACTTGAAAGAAAAGAAATTTTCTTTTTGATTTTTCGTTGACACGCAACAATATAAATAGAAAAGTGATTGATTTAACAGCCTCGATGAACATATTTGAATATTTTAGTAGATAAGTCGATGTTTCGACTCTTCGAGAGTCATTATCAGGACATAAAATTGAAAAATAACATTATGACAGAGAAAGAGAAGCATAAAAAAATATTTATAGAATTCGTTTGAACTACAAGTAGCGTTCATCATTCTGATTCACTTATCCCTCGACTGGAAAGGAATTGCCAGTATCAAATTATTTCTACAGAATAAAATAATTATCTTTCTTGTTCCCATTACATTCTGAAGAACATTCTCAAGAAGCCGCAGCAGGCTAGTACTACGACAGTTCTGACGACCATCGTTGTTCTTGCAAGATAAAGGATAAATGAGGCACATTCCCAATTCTTAAATTCTTATTTCTAATCACTCTCGTATTATGTCTTGACGTGTATGTTTGTCTGTCCGCTAATAACTTGTGTCTACGCCCTAACACAATGGGGGAACAAATCATTGTTAGTCCAACCAACATCAGACCAAACAAATAAACTACACAGACTAGAACATTAAACAAACAGACATTACAACGTTTTCAAAATCAAGACATGTAGCTTTTTTGCTGAAAATACTGCTTCAAAAAAATATTTTGGACACATTCACTCTGAAGGAAATTTCCAACAAGCAGGACTAAGCATCAACAGAAGCGATTCCCGCGGTGGCCGATGTTCTCGACCAACAGAACTGATCGTAGAGGTCGTTTATACTCATTTTCTGATTCCCCATAATCGACTACCTACTCCGTATCAGTTTCATCCATGCAAGTGGAAATCATGTTTTCGACCAACAAGGTTCACCGTAGAGGTCGCTCATACTCATTTTCTGATTCATCATAGCCGACTCCCTACTCCAAATCATTTTTGTTCAGCGAAGCTGAGATAAACATTTTGACCAATAGAACTGCGCGCAGAGGTCACTCATACTCATTTTCTAATTCGCCATAGTCGACTACCTATTCCGTATCACTTTCATACATTCAAGTAGAAATCAAGTTTTCGACCAATAGTATTCACCGTAGAGGTCGCTCATACTCATTTTCTGATTCCCCGTAGTCGACTACTTACTCCATATCATTTTCATCCAATCAAATCTAAGTTTTGCTGTACTAGTTTGTATGTCGCTAGTATGGGGTTGACGGAAAACGTCGAAAGGAAAAATGTCGATAAAAAAATAGCAAAACGTCGAAGAGGAAAATGTAGAAGAGCTAAATGCCAAAAAGACAAACGTCGAAAGCGGATAATGGAAGAAGGAAAGTATCGAAAGGAAAACGCCGAAAAGGAGGAGATTTCTTTCTGCTCCTTTGAAAACCACTGGACGTGGGGGTGAGGTGAGGGTGGGATGAGGGTAAGGCGTTCATCGTAGCAGCCATAGTGAACTTCATCATACTTTACTTTTTCGACGAGTGGCTATAATTACTACGAGGTTGGAGATGTCTGATGAGACCCAATAGTACTTCTAATGATAATAATACGTATATCTCATTCAGTGATTTTCAAGGAACAGAAAGAAATCTCCTCCTTTTCGGCGGTTTCCTTTCGACACTTTCCTTCTTCCATTATCCGCTTTCGACGTTTGTCTTTTCGGCATTTTGCTCTTCTACATTTTCCTCTTCGACGTTTTGCTATTTTTTTATCGACATTTTTCCTTTGTCTGTGTGTGTCAGAGTGAAAGGACGGAAAGTTCCAAATTCCGCATGCAGTTTGATTGCGGTATATATCATCTACTTTACATTCACAAGACGTTTTTTGTTCGTTATCAGTAACGACTTCAGGCAACATGACTTCTCGTTGGGCGTTTGCTACCGCGGCAGTTGTGGAGGGACTACTGGCAAAGAAAACGGGGATGTTGCTGAATTTAAGTGCACAAGAACTAGTTGATTGTTCAGGTAAGGTCAGAAAGAACTTTCTTTGGAAAACTACCGGCCTATAATTCTGCATGAAAAGAAGAGTAGAAGAAAAATGCGGTAAACTAGAACAAGAACATGCTCACGCCTCGCTTCGGCCGGCGTTCGCAGCCAGGATCACTCAGAAATGTTGTGAACTTCTCCGATTCCACGGAAAAGCGCACAATAAAATATAAAGCTATAAAGCTTCCTGGACATCCTCTGAATATTCATGGTATCGACTGTGTTTTCCCTATCCCTTCAACTTCAAAGCTGTTACTCTGTCAAGCTTTTCTTCTCTTTTTCCTTTTAGCATTTGGTTGTAGCGGCGGCGAGTTCACCGTTCCAATCGGATATTTGCGTTCCAACTACGGAATTCAAGCTCTTTGGGATGATTATATTTACGCAGGTGTTGACCAGAAATGCCAAGCCAGCTGCTTTGCTCGACAAATAATCGGACCTAATATTGGCTACACGAATGTACCATCTGCTGATGTACTGCCCTGCTGCAAGCTGTTACTCGAGGACCAGTTTGAGTGTCTATTAATGCAGACGCGTCCACGTTTCAATCTTATAAAACTGGAGTTATTACCTTGTCGACACAAGACTGTGACCCACATAACCGAGATCTAGCTGTGGCACTTGTTGGCTATGGTTATGATCCTATATTGCAATTGAATTATTGGAAAGTGAAAATTAGCTGGGGTACGAATTGGGAAGAAGGTGGCTGTGGTCGTATTGCAAGAGAAACAAAAGTATGCGGCATTGCTTCGGCTGCCTGTGAAGGAATAATTTGAGTAAACCGGCGTTTTGTGTTGTAACTTTCTTTACTTTATAGTTAGCACCCAGGGTAATGCGATAGTTTATTACTTTGTATGCAAGACTTTTCTTGATTAAATTCATACAGTGCATTCAGCTTTTAATCTATAAACTGTCATAACTTTTTGTCACTGTCGCTTCACGCAATGACGTTCTCCTTTCTGTCTCTCCTTTGTTTCATTTTTTATATGTACATGTGTGTATGTAAGTGTTTGGGAACTTTTGTTTACTGCATAACAACGGTACAATGGTGTAATTAGCGCTTCCTGCAGCTCCTGTTTCAATGACTACAGAAAATAAACCATGTATGCTAATTCTATAACTCAGCCAGAATAAGTCAGAAAGTTTTTTTTATTTTTCCAAACCCCAGTTTGGATAGTAGAATAGAAATATGAAATAAAAAGTATATGTCAGTTTTCCACTCGCGACTTGATGTCTTGATGGGCTGGCGAACAGTCTCTTAAAGCTTTTAATAAATGCTTAGTTGTTGTTGTGGAATATTGATCAAGATGCTGTTAACGTTCTGAGTTCTGTGGTCGAACAAGACGTACCCACACAATTTGTACATGCCGTTTTTCATCAATAGAATTCGCACCTCTGGGTAGTAAACTAAACAAGTGGAAAAGTCACAAACGAGGTCAAGTCCTTAGAAAGAACAGATTGGAAGCTCCAAACACTTTGAGCAATATTGCGACTGTCTTTTTCTTAAAAAACTTTTTCTTAATTTTGTTTTTCTCCCGGTGATATTGCTGAGCGTTTTGCCACAAAATGTATCTTGATATCTGCTCAAGTGATTTAAAAGAAAACTTGAATACTGTAAAAAGTGCGTTAGTGTTTTACCCATTTAGATCTTCTCACTATTATTCGTATCAGCAAAGCGCTCAATATGTTTTTTGTAGAGAATTTCAATACGCATGTGTTGCAATAAAAGAAAAAAAATTATGAACATACTGAGTGCTACTTAATCTGCATGTTTTTGTTCCAGTATGATCTAAAATATGTTATTTTAGCACAAACATGTTTGATGGATCAAAGCGTGTATTGTCTGTGGATAGAGGACTGTATGACCTATAAACAGACAACAAGTCCTACACTGTACAGCCTTTTACTTTTCTAAAATAAAATCAATCCTACAGCTTTTCGAACGCCTTACGTACCTCAAGATCTATATTACTCAGAAATATATGAAAGAAGGCTTCGGAATAAGGCGGAAATTTTTATCGAAGAACGAAAGCTGATAAAAATCAGTCAGTATTTTTACAAAAGTAGCCTTCAAAGTTTGGTGCAAGAACAATACCTTCTAAATATGCTCTGTACGTGAGATAAACGGAAGGTTTAAGTCAGGTATAGAGAAATATCGAAGTCTGGTAATTTCATCTGCATCATTGTCAGAAATATCCTAATGTATCGGTCAGTGAATTTAGGTATGCAGGGCTTTAGGATGATTCCAGCGAAAGACAAATATCAAGAAATAAATGGGCACAAAACAGCTCACCATGTGATTTTCACTTTGACAATGCCAATACCAGCTGAGCACTTCTTTTCTATTACAACTTACTCAAATACCATATGATGTGGCATTTTTATGTTATAATGGTATTTGAACTTTCAACAACGCTATCAGTTAATCAATTTAATTTAGCGTATGTCAATCGGAAAAAATGTATGACTAAACTTTCGCAACGTAATGAGGTCCACAAGAGGGACTTTCGCGATTTTTCTACACGCATCAAACTCGATAAATAAGCTTGCCGCACATTTTTAAACTATAAGCTTTATTGTCATTTAAAATATACATTAACGAACCTTATACATCAATTATATTTATAGTGAAAAATACTTTGACTGTAATGAACATTCAGTATGCAAAAATTCTTTTGAAGAGTAGCTGCTGTCCGCGCTTGTCTTCGACTAATTCTCTAGCCATCAAAGTGGATGAAGCATTAGTAACACTACTTTGGGAATTCATCATTGATGCTGATGCTTCTTCTCGACCTACTTAAAATGATTGTAGCACTTTCGCCTGGCTCACTAAAAGGAAAAAAAAGAAGCAATGTCGTCCACTGTCTTTACTCTATATGCCACAATGCGTATACTGCTTCTATGCTTGATATATCCCTTAAAGACTTGTGTTGACGGCACTAAATTGCTGAGATCGAAACTGCGACTCTGGCAAGTCAACGAGAATGTCTGAAAGATACACTGGCAAAACGTCTACTTGTGCGTTCAACTATACAGTTTCAAAACCCAAATCGAGCTTCAGATAATAGCTTTAAATGCATCTCAGTTTCTCGGTCAAAACTGACCCATATAACTCAATGCCGCAGTATATGTCATTAGTTGTCTAGAGGTGGTTCGAGCCGAAGACGTAGCTGCCCTTACAAAATATCGTAAGAAACCTTACCAGCAGGCTCACTCTCACCTATCGTGCTCATCGTCGCTCGCATCGAGGAGATCTTATCGGTGCTTTCTTCCTTTATTCAAAATAGGAGTCTTAAGTCTATATAACATAGATACAAAACCTGCTCTTGTGGCTGTTGTTGTTGTTATTATGGCTGATGGCGTCACAATGAACGATACGGCAATACCATCACCAGCTGCTGCCAACCATTGGGAGCTCTGATTTCTAAGGGAAGA